CCAGTTAATCTATTTGGTCCTTGCACACCTAAGCTCCCAGATCCACTGTTTGCAGACAAATTCAAGCGAGAAGCAAGGCCAGGCACTGATAGCCCTCCACCTGAACCTATACTTCTCCCAATGTTTCCACTGCCTACCATACTTCCCACTGAGCCAGTAACCCGGGGACCGGCATTTCCCAACACAGGGGAGACTCCTAGGCCTGGAACAGCATTACGATTACCAATTGCAGCAGAGGTGGGGAGGATCCCAGGAATAGAGCCACCAACTCCATTTGTATTACTGCTATATCCAGGGCTTCCAACAACATTCATACCTCCTCTATTTGTGACTCCTGAATATCCACCATGTGAGCTCCCATGAGACATCTACAAATGAAAAGGAATTTTTACCGCAATAGGAAATAAAATATGAGGCACAAATTAAATGGCCATTATGCATTAAACTTGCAAACAAGCATAACCTGTTAACAACAACAAACCTGAGACAGAGCAACTGGGATGTTATTTGATGCAAATCTACCCCCTGGAACATTCCCTGTTGGTTGTTGAACCCCGCCAGAAGCGACACTATTCATGGATGAATTTCGGGATGAAAGTGTACCCGACATATTCGGAACATTAAAGCCACCGTGCATACTGTCAGACTTCTAAGTAGTTCCTGTATAAGGATGTCATTGCTACCGGCTTAGCAGTTCAATACATAAAATGTAATACGAGTATATTTAAGTCATTCTACTTACCAGTGTGTTTATCAACAAGGACCTAAAACCAGACGAAAGCGAAAAGATGCTGGAACACCAAAATCTATAGATTACTGCATTCAAAATATCATCGTAAATTATTATAGCAAATATGCATATGAAACAAACAATCAAAATCATAGTCATTGACTATGTAACCATGAAATTGATAGTGAATACATTTTACAAGCAATGGTGAATTGGTGATTATAATAAAGATATCAAATTTACATGCCCATTGAACAATCATTAAACCCTAACTGATTTCTCCTTCATAAATCCAACAAAATCAAAATTTCAAAATCTCCCCACTAACCTATCTATCATCTAGAACACGATACAGGAAAACCCTAATTTAAAAATTACTTCGCTGCATCAACAACGCAAAAATTGAAAACCCTAATCCACCATAAGTCAGCTTAATTTGAATAAATTGGTTCACAATTTCTCATCAATCAACCTCCGAAATCAACCAAAACCCAATTAATTACCAAATCGCAAACATTAAAAAATCAAACCCACAAATTAATTGAACGAAAAAAACAACAAACTGGAAAATCAAATTGAGATTTTAGAGCTTAACATGAACATTTAACTAACCTTGCGAGAACCAACGAGATCGAGAAGAGATAAAGAGAAGGTAGTAGACAGAGGTTTAGTGTGTGATTTTTGCAGTGATCGTAACAATTTCTGGGAATTGACTTTTTGACCACTTTAAAAATGAAAAAACATACGAAGAGAGTACATCATAATAGTTGCACTTTCTTTTCCCTTTTTGATAAACCTATACTTGGAATTAAATACGAGTACTTAGGCATGTTCTCTTTCACGAAATTTTTAGTTCACTTCAATTTTAGATTTTCTTTTCTCATAAAATATTCACTTTTATTCAGTTCGTCTCCAATCAGCTCAACTCAACTTAGTTCAGTAAATTAGAACCGGCTCTAACTGCTGGTACTTAGTAATTTCGTACTCCATATAACACAGAGTAAAGTGTTGCAATTAAAATTAACGATGCAATTAAAATTAACGATGGGAGTATTAACTTACATTAGATTAGCTGCTAATTAAATTTGTTGCAGTAAGGTACACTTTGAAACTAGAATAAGATTTTGTTTTGATGATGAGCCGATGTGACATGAGTTGAGCATTTTTCAATGGGTTAAATGAGATTTGATAGTTAGGTGGGGCATTTGAGGAGGAGGGAGGAAGGTAGAGATGGCAAAACCCGACTCAACTCGGTCAAAATCATATATCATATCGCAGATTTTGACTTGTATGAACTCAGTAATTGAGTATTTGAGTGAGCATGACTCAAATTAAAATAAACAAGACTCGACTTCATTTGGCTTGACCCGTATACTCCAATTGACACCTCTAAGGAAGGGGTAAGTGGATTCTAAAAATCGAAGCATATTCGAGAAATATTATTATTATTCAAGCTAGATTTGTTGAATTAAGAAAAAATTGAGGTTGGTTTGGATCCAAGCCATAGAACGGAATTAGCTAGTGCAGGTCTACATGTGGCTTTTATTTAAACATAATTTCATACGGAGTAATTTTATATGACCATTTTTCAGCTAATTAACGTGAGAGAGATTTTAAGTATTATTAATACTACCTCCGTTAACAGTTATTTGCAATATTTGCCATTTTCGATTGCTATCTATTATGTGCAACATTTTTCTTTTCTTTCCACTTTTAGTAACTTTTTGCCAATTAAATGACCATATTACCCTTACTTAAACAACTTAGACATCTAATTAAATCACTAACTTGATTTAACTCTTTACCTAATGAATCTGATTATTGTAATCATTTTCACCAAAAATCATTTTCATCAAAATCATTCATCTGTCTCACCATTCATCTCCATCAGAATAAATTCATCTCCATCACCCTTCTTCAATTTCATCAAAATCATTCATCTCCCTCATCATTCAACTTCATCAAAATCACCCATCTTCTCTTGCAATTTGGGTTCGTGTGGTCGTGGGTTCAAATTCGTGGAATTGCGTTCGCCTAGTTCGTGGGTCTGAATTCGTGGGGGTGGTTTTTAGGGGTTTCAGTTCTAATTCGTGGGGGTGGTTTGAGTTTCGTGGGGACGGGTTTCAGATCTGGTTTGTAGGGGTGGCGTGAGTTTCGTGGGGGTGGTTTTAGATCTGGTTTCATGTTGGTGGCTCAATTGGGAGTAAATTCAATTCGTGGTGGTTTCGAATTAATTGAATTTCGTGGTGGTTTCTTGGGTCGTGGTGGTTTTGTCTGCTTGGTGGTGGTTATGGGTGTGTTCGTGGAGGTTTTCTGGGTTTTTATGTGTTCGTGGTGGTTTGCTGGGTTTGTGGATGGTTTGTTGGGTTTGTGGTTGGGTTTTGGTGATTCTGGCTGGTTCGTGGTTGAGTTTCGGCGGTTTGGGTTCTGAGTGTCGGCGGTTCTGGTGGTTGTCGGTGATGGTCTGGTGGTTGTCGGTGATGGTTCTGGGTTTATGTGGTTATTATGGGTTTTTGTTTATTTTTTTTAGGTAGGATTAATAGTAATCAAGTGCCCTTAGTTTTTAATTATCATCCATTAAAAGTTTTGCCTAGGAGTCCGTGCTACCCCTTTATTGCAAATAACTGTTAAAGGAGATAGTATTATTTTTTTAAAACAATAGTACATGTATAATCATAACAAATTAGTTGAATTGTTGTTATTTTATTGTCTTAGCTTATTATGTCGAAGCATATGTGACTCTAGCAATAGGATGAGTTGCGTGTTTATTTAACGTGAGAGAGATTTGCCGACTTGGTAATGCATGTTCTTTGTCAAACACAAATATGTTCCTTCTCAAACACTTATATGTTCCTTTTCAAACATCTATATGTTCTTTCCGTTTTTTTTTTTTTTTTTAAATAACTAGGTGCATGGTGCACTATGGTACACAAACCAAGCATTATGTTTAATTACCCGCTAATATTCAATCCATTAGAAATAAAAAAATACCAAGATACAAATATAAGTATCGAGTAAAGATAGAGTTTTTTTTTTCCTTTTCAATTTGTCATGTTAGTGGTCATTTATATATTATTTCCATGCAACTGATGCAAGTAACAACAATAGCTTTTTATATTTTTCACAAATTGTCTTTCTTTGGATTCTACATCACCAATAACAACATATATGGTACAAATACTGTTAATGATCATTGTCTTTTCTAAGCCTTTTAAATGACAAATGGAATGATCCCCGAAAATCATCACATAAGAACAATATATGTATTGTTCATGATATCCCTGGAGAAATCTGTTTGCTTTATCAACTCCCTTTGCTTTTGTTTTTTGAATTATATGTGAGAAATGCATCATTTATTGTTTGTTAATATACGTAAGGATTACATAACAATCTTTGCCGGTAAGTTAACCTTGATGAAAATCGTGAACCAACAACAATATGCTCTTATCATGTAATAAAGCCGTAACTCAATTCACAGTTACTTAATTCACAATAAAGGATGCAACTAAATTTATTTTGTTGCCTGATCACACCGAAGACATCATGGTAAAGCTAACAATAATAAATTAGAAGTCAAATTCATTTTTTATCTACCTTATTGATATCACATGAGCAAGCATTTAAAACTTATTTAAGTGTTTTGTGACAGCAAACGTATGTAATAAACCGACAATGTCACAGAGACATAGAAAACTATAGCACGCAAGACACAACACAACCTGTCAAACACCAACAATGTGTTAGAAAACTAACTAACATCACCCTTAAGGAACAAGTGAGTTGGAATTTTTAGATTTAGCAAAAAATAGCTGTTAGATTGAGAACTCAAATCAGTCACAAACAACGTTGGAAAAATAACTGATTCTGAAACTCACACGACACAGATCCGTAAAAATCGCAACCCCACCATTTAATTCAAACTAGTAAGAAATAAATTCTAAGATACTTTAGAAGGTAAAGGACTTCCTAAGTGAAAATTTCCAAAAGAGGACTAATTTGAGGCTATGAAAGATGGTTAAGTTAAGCCAAACCTACCACAATAAGCAACATCAAATCTCAACCAATAGCCTTGACCAGATTTACCAAATCCACAAACAGACAAAACACAAAAAAGACGCGCACACAAGGGTAATTTCGTCAATTCCATACTCTCCCAATTAAAATTACATTAATACCCCCTCAGTAACAAAATTAATTTATCCTTTTCCTGTCCAAAAAAACAATTTAATTTATTTTTAATAAAATATTCATTGTCTTTATTTGCCTAACTTCTTTTTTAATCCCAGGCGATGAGGTTGAGACTTCGAGAAAAGCAGACATCAAAAAAAAAAAAAAAAAGGAAAAAAAAAGTGGAGTAAAAACAAACACTCATAAGAGAAGAAGAAGAGGAGAGAGAAAATTGATAGCGAAGAGAGAGAAAGCTTGAGATTGTTTGGCTATGGTGGTAGAAGCGCGTTAATATTTTCTACTGAGTCAACTCGTTTGTTTATCGATTCAATCGCCGATTTTCCGACCACCGGAGATTACTTTCCGGCGAAGTTTTAATCGGTGATTTTAGGGTTGAATTTCAATTTCGTCTTCTTCAAGAGAAAGTTAAAGGGGATGATGAACGGAAACGGATATGGTGGAGTTGAAGAAGAGTACATTAAGATACATCATAAGCATGAACCTGCTGATAATCAATGTAGCTCTGTTTTAATCAAGCACATTAAAGCTCCTGTTCACTTGGTAATTATTTTTTAATTTTTGTTTTGATGATTTTTCTTTGTTGTTTTTGATTGTTTGTTTTGGTTTTTCTTTGATTATATTTGGTTTGATGGATCCAGATTATATCATGATTTTGATTCTTGATTTTGGGGGTGTTTGAATTTGATGTTTTGGGTGTGTTTATTTAGTTTGATCCATTTGTTGTTGTAGAATTTAGTAAATATGGGGTTTATTTAATTGGTAATACGTATTTTGTAGTTTGATTAATGAAGCATTAATTTTCTTGGGAATTGAGCATATAATCTTGGGATCAATTTTTGGTAAAAAAAAAAAAAAAAAAAGAATATTAAAATCTGGGATATTATTTGTTCATAGTTGTGGAATAAATCATATCGCAGATTAAAAGGAAATGTGGTTGAATTTCATAAATAACTGGCTGTGTTATAAAGAAGTTTCTACTTTTGGACTGATTAGTTAGCAATTGTTTCAACTATTTTTGATACCTTTGAAATGGGAGGAAAGAGTAGAAATTATTGCCCTTCTGATTATGGATAATGGTTATGAAGTTGGGATTATGTAGTTAGAATTTGAAGTCATATCGAAGATTGATCATGTTGCTCATATGGATGCGATTAGTGTTTGTCGAATTCTGTTAGAAGTTGTGTATGATTATCTGTGTGTGTTCTTCTATTAATGTAGTGTTTGCATGTCAGGTTTGGTCTTTAGTGAGGAGATTTGATCAACCCCAGAAGTATAAGCCATTTATCAGCAGATGCGTGGTGCAGGGAAATCTTGAGATTGGAAGTGTAAGGGAGGTCGATGTTAAATCAGGGCTGCCAGCGACTACGAGCACTGAGAGGTTGGAGGTTCTGGATGACAATGAGCATGTTCTTAGTATCAGGATTGTTGGCGGAGATCATAGGCTAAAGGTATGACACTTCCACTTTATGATCCCTTGCATTATTATGTGTATTTGTAGCTCTGTGCGTATTTGGGGAAATGGTGTATCGGTTTGGGTTTCAGAAACACCTTTAATCATTTAATTCTTTGTTAATTATTCTGAAATATTCAAAGTCGATCCTGTTCTATATGATGATGAATGAATGTCTTGGAGTGATTTAGTTTCAGTGCAGGACTACATTTTTTTTTCCCGTGTGTGTGTGTGTGGGGGGGGGGGGGGGGGGGTGGTGGTTCTATACTCTGAGTTGGTTATATCGCATATTTGATTAACTGATGGTATCCAACATCTTGTTATGGTCTATGGCATATGTTCATTTTAACTATCGGTGGAGAAAAAGGGAAGAGGATGCTGAATACAGATATTGATTGTTGTTATCATGGTAGGTCATGACATTTTTACCTGCAAGTCCTTTGCATTTTTTTTTTTTATTTAGTATTGTTGGTCGTTTTGTTCACCTGCAAGATCTCTGCATTTGTTATTATTGAAGGTAATTTTGTTTCCTTAATGGCCTTTGTACTATGTTTTAATTGTAGGTCATTTTGTTCGCTTGCAGAGCCTCTGCATTTGTTATTATTTTTGGTCAATTTGTTTCCTGCAAGTCCTTTGTATTATGTTATTATTGTTGGTAATTTTGTTACCTGCAAGGCCTTTGAATTCAATTCAGAGGGATGTTTGGTTGTTGGAGAACATTTAACATAATTAGGTCCTCATCCATAACCTTCCCTTGTGTTATCTCTTCTAGTATTCTACCCAGGGGTTGTATCAAGGTTCTTTTTTCATGTTATTGTATCTTCGATGTATGATTATTTTTTTGGTTGGCGATATATGCTCATAAAATTGTTCTTAAAATGAAATAGTTTGGAGTTTATTTTATTTTGGACGCCTGCCTTTTTGGCATATACAGTGTAGGACAAAAAACTAAGACTGCCTGGTGAGTAGCATTGGAATTAGGGTTTACTAGGTATTTACTGTGTAGTCATATGTTAGGAATCTTTGGTTGAATACTTGGTGGCAACTTCCCCAATTCATAAGATTATTGCAGAAAAGAAAAGAGTTTATTGGGAATCTTTATCCTACCTTCTTCTGTTGCCTTTACTTTTATGTATCCTTTTGTATGTAGTGAGTTTTACCTTGTCTAAGTCACGTTTCTCTTGTTCAGAACTACTCTTCTGTGGTGTCTCTACATCCGGAGATCATTGAGGGAAGGCCTGGGACAATGGTGATCGAGTCATTTGTGGTTGATGTACCTGAAGGCAACACCAAGGATGAAACATGCTTTTTTGTTGAAGCTTTGATCAAGTGCAATCTTAAGTCTCTTGCTGATGTCTCTGAACGTTTGGCTGTACAAGACAGAACTGAGCCTATTGATAGGATGTGATTAGAAGCCTGATGTGATGGGAGGATATATTTTCTCTCCATGAATGAAGCTACCAAGGTGTTCGGATTGCAGAGGCCTTGGGGTTGACTGGTTCTTCCATCTGCTAGATATGACTGCTGTCTGTAGTTCCTGTTTACGAACTTCCGCCTTTAGGCAGTCCAAGAATCACAACTTTTAGAAGTGTGTTATAAACGTTCATGGAAGAGGAAAAGAATTGGAAACCTGTGTCGTTCTCAAGTCTTTACAGTCTCATTCTGTGCGTCCATGCTTTATAGTTGTATATAAACATGTGATTAAACGGGTGATTGTAGATCTTTTGTCATCGTATTATAGCTTCTGTGGAGAGAATTATAGAGGTGTTCTGATAGGTAGTCAATTAATGACATTAGGGTATAGGGAGGCTTGTAAGTAGTGTTTCTCAGTTCACCATAAATTTATCGTCATTTGTGAATTACTGTCATTGTTGTCATAAACTTATGGTCATTTTTTTTTTCTCTTTTAATCTTTTGTTAGCTAGTGATCTGAGGATAACTCTCCTAAGAACATCTTGTAGTTAGTCTCACCATGCTTTCGGTACCTTAGCGTTAGCGGTGGCCGCCTTCGATTAGCTAAGTTCTCACCCATCACCTTCACCCCTCACCCCTTCTTCCCTTAAAGAAAGTGTACAGGTTATTGAAATTCATTGTCAAAGTTGTAGAATTTCCGAGAAGCTTCTAGATGGAACTGTTCTAGCACATCGTGAGGTGGGTGTCCCTTTTAACAGAGTATAAAGTGTTACGGGCCCCCATATTTAGTTCTACTAGTCTTTTCCTACTTGTGATTGCAGTTTTTTTCTTCTTATTTTAATATTCTTCCATTATTATTTGGTATTATTATTACTCGGTTTATTATCACTAAAGCCATGTACTATTTAGTAAGGTAAGAAGAATAGCTCTATTGAGTCGAAACCTTATATGGGTCAGCTTGGTTTAAGTTAGCGCCTTAGCCGTCTAAATAAAAGCGACGGTTGATATTTATTTATTTAATTAATTATTTTTATAGGTGAATGATGCAGAGGAGCAGGTTGTTATGTTCAGATAATGGAGAGGCATCCACTTTTAATTATTATTATAAGTTTAAGTACTCTGTTCCTAGACAAATCTACCTATCTATATCTATCTTAGGCTTAGGCAATTATTTACAATTTTACCCATTCAACTACATTTGGAAATTGGAATAGCTCAATTGTTTAATTGAATTTCCAAAGGATCTTTTTTGGGGGAAAGATTTAAAGAAATCATTTATTTCATTTTCTTAATTACATCAAAAATGATGATTTAGAATTGTTTACGCAATGTTTTTCCTTTAGCGTACGATTATTGGTAGAAAATTAAATGTTATACGTATAAGAGGGTAGGGATGTAATTCGTACTAGTGGATATGTCAAATGACTTTCTTATCCTAATAGTTTGGTCCCCAAGCCTTTTTTAAAATAGTAATTGACGTAATTTCAGCATTATTTTTGAGATATTTTTGTGTACTTTAATAACAAAGGGGAATTTTAAATCGCTATTCGTTGAAACACTTGAAAGAGAAGTGATTTGACAAAATTATAATCATTTGTCCTACGTTAACAAAGCAATCCGCTGCTTGGTTAGCTTCTCTAAACTCGTATTTGTTGAAGAATGTACAATATTTAATGTTCTCTGTACTCGCTTCTATCCATTACGGTGGAATGAAAAAAAAAAACTGAAATAATAATACTCGTATTAATAATACATCAGTTCATATAACAAAATAGACTCTTTCTTATTCAATTTATAAAAGTATCAAATTTGAAATACGAAGAATGTGTCGTATATAATTGGGAATGTCTGGATGTATGAGAATATTTGCTGACCCGGCTATATGGACAATTTCTGCTAATCAATCTACCAAGATATAGAAAAAAATAATAAGTTACACAGAATTTCCCCTAGATACTAAGTTTTTTTTTGCAAGCCCCACGATTTTCGCTGAGAGCCTAGAAGTTCTCTGTAAAAGTAGTCTGCAAAGATGATCGGCGTGGCAAATCCATTGGACAATACAACAAAGACAACCATTAGCAAAGGAATCGTTGTAGCTGCCTTAGTGTATCAAGGTTGTATGTTAGTGTACAATATACAATGATGGCCCGAGCAGTCAGCCCTCCGATCTGCTTGTTCCTCAACAGGCAGCAGCTCCACAGTATAATTCTTCAATAACACAGAATAGGGGAATTTGATTTTTAGACCAAGACAAGCTCTCCTTCTTGTTGTTCTTGCTGCTCCACCAGCTGGCTTTCCTCTCGATATGGAAGAAGAATACGTTTTATGTCTTCGGAACTAAGTGTCTCGTACTCCAATAGAGCATTAGCTAGAGCATGCAATGCCTTCTCATGCTGGAAAAATGTCAGCACAGTTAAGAATAAATCTAGTCTAGATTAAAAGGAGAAAGAAGCTAAGTTACTTGGACACGAGTACTTGTGCAGGTGAAGGTATGGGTCACACACTTGAAGTGGAGAGTCCAAGTAGAATAATCTTGAGCACTTGTGCCAGACCCAGTAAAGGTATGGGTCACATACTCAAAGCATAATACATTATTTTTTTGGTTTAAGATTTATATAATTATACTACGTATTTAAATTAATGCCCTAGCCGATTTTGAAAAATCATATAGAGACATTTAAGAATTTCATCTTCTTCATTTGTGCTTTCCCTTGGCATATACATCATTGTCTCAATGGTTGGGTGAATTGATCAACACTATAGTTATGATGTTGGAATTTGCATTTACCATCATCATTGTTTAAAAAGGGTGAATAACATTGACCGATGGAGACATTTAGACTATTTATTTGATCTTCTACATTGGTAAAAAAAATTATTGTATCGAGAATCTACTTCATTTTATTCCCGAAACTCTTGGAAGTTCATTCATACCATGTCTCAACTTCGCTAGCCCGAAAATCAACTAAATTCTACTTAAAAAAAAAATGTTATAATTGGTTAATCGTACAACTAAAATTCTAATCAATTGTATCTTGCAAAATTGTGGTGTGGCGTCCCAATATAAGTTGAATCAAAAGTAAAAAGAAAATTAGTATAATAGCAATCCAACCTCAATTGCAACATCTTTAGCCGACTTCTTTGCTACATCAAGCTTTTTCTCAACTTCATGAGTAGACTTCTTCTTAGGCGACTTATTCTTAACATCATCCACACACTCTTTCTTGATCTGCTTCTTCCCAACATCATCAAACACCTTTCTAATATCATCAATAGACTTCCTTTAGGGCGGATTCTTCCCAACATCGTCAACGGTAGGTTTTTTCTTAGGTGGCATGTTTACGTGGGAATTGTACCATATTATTAAGGAGTCATACGCTATTTATATGTAATTTAGGTCATGTAATATTTGTTATACATAAAAAGTACATGACTCCCTAATAATATAATACAATTCCCACATAAACATGCCACCAGGAAGAAGCCTACCGATGATGATGTTGGAAAGAAACCGCCCTTGGAAAAGTGTTAGATGATGTTGGGAAGAAGCCGCTAAAAAAAGTCTTTATGGATGATGTTAGGAAGAAGTCGCCCAAGAAAAAGTCTACTGAGAAAGTTGAGAAGAAGCCTAATGTAGCAAAGAAGTCTACTAAAGATGTTGCAATAGAAATTGTATGCTATTATTCTAAATTTCTTTTTACTTTAGATTTAAACTATATTGGGATGCCGCAACACAATTTTACATGATACAATTAATTAGAATTGGAATCTTAATGATACGATTAAGATTATAACATTTTTTTCAATGTTGACCATAATTGATTTTCGGGCTAACGAAGTTGAAGATAGAATGGATGAACTTAAAGAGTTCTAGGAATGGAATGGAGAAAATTCTCGATACAATAAATTTTTAACAAATGTAGAAGATCAAGGAAATAGTTAAAATGTCTCTACCGATCAATGTAATTTACACATTTTAAACAATAATCATCGAAAATGGAACATCATGACTATAATGTTGATCAATTTCACCCGACCATTGAGACAATGATGAATGTGCCAAATAGTAGGAAAGCACAACCGAAGAAGATGAAATTCATAAGTTTCTCCGGATGATTTTTCAAAACCGGTTAGGGTATATATATATATATATATATCTTAAACACAAAAATAACGTATTGTCTTTTTATTAATGAAATCTCAAGCACTGTCACTAGTAGGGAGATAGCTAATTGATAAGGATTTTTTTTTAACTAACCTTCTTTAGCAAGGACTTCACGCGATCATATGCGTCTCTAAGGAGTTTGACAACCTATTGCACAATAACCAGTAGAGTATTGGTCATCACGCCAACAACTTAACTACATAGTAGTATTTGGAATTCTTAAACTGACCTCTGCATCAATACGGGACTGCATATCAGAACCTGGCCTTTCTTTGATATGAACAGGACCAATTGCATCACTCATCCCACAGCTTGTTACCTTGCAAATCAAACAATGGGCTAGCATTTATTATATGCGATGAATACTCTGTATTAACTAATTTGTTGGGTATAAAATTAAATTAAAGACCAGTACTTCCTTTCTAACAAGATGGCTAAACAAAAGTTTTACCAAGCCATACCATATATTGAGCAAGCTCTGTGGCCGTGTTAAGGTCACTACTGGCTCCAGTTGTAATGTAATCTTGACCAAATATAAGCTCCTCTGCTACCCTACCTCCCATACAAACATCAAGTCGGGCCAATAGTTGCCTTTTGCTAACTGAGGTCTCGTCATTTGAAGGCAGTTGTGTGACCATCCCTAAAGCAGATCCACGTGGTATAATTGTAGCTTTATGGATGGGATGAGCGCCCTCCGTGTTCAAAGCTACAATTGCATGGCCACTCTCGTGGTACGCAGTAAGCTGCAGACAGGGCAAGTAGATAATAGCTTGTTTATTCATTTCTTTTGTGCTACATATGCATCCATTAGAATTACTGTAATCCTATGTTCTTTATTCTGCTATTCATCTTTGTGAACTGAAAATTTTTGTTCCCTTGTAGATAATTTAGTGATTCAAGTACAATTGGAGCAGTGAGGCCCCAATTTTTTTTTTTTTTTTTTTGTGTGTGTGTGTGTGTGTGGGGGGGGGGGGGTCCTTCTGCCCTTGTTTAGTTGTTTTGCATGTGTATTTTGTAGTCTACTGTAATTAATTGACACTATGCACAGAACTTTGCTAAAAGCATCACTCTATTCCCCCTATACAAAAGGTGCAACTACTCGCAAAATTGTAAGTGTAAGATGATTTTGTAGATGACCATACCCAGTGAGGCGGTAGAAGGATCTATCTTCTAAAAAAAAATATGCCAATTACATCCCTATTAACTTAACTAATTAACTCCTATAAGTGTCTTCAAGATATACTATCTTTCTAGTCTGACCATTTTGGTACAAGTTTCTCATAAGCTATGTACTCACCTTTTTGGAATCCTCAGTTATGAACATAGTTTTTCGCTCTGTACCCATTAATATTCTGTCCTTTGCAAACTCC